AAAAAAAAAAAAAAAAAAAAAAAAAAAACTCTGATCCAAATCCTCCAATTTCGGAATTAAATACCCCCTTCTCGTAATCGGGATCGGGATTGCCTTTTCGTTCTCCGCTACCTCCTCCTCGTCCTCCACATCCTCGTCCAGCTGATGCTGATGCTGATGCTTCTGTCTGTGGTCCCCACCTCCTCCTCCTCCTCCTCCTCCTCCTCCTCCCCCTGCTTTCTTCTCCTCCTCCTCCTTGCTTCTCCTGAGCCTCGTCTTTCTCCTTCGTTTATGCTCCATCTGGTCGCACATTTCCCGAAGCGGGATCCCGACCTGTCATCAAGAACGTAGACGATAAGTTGAAACCATACAGGATGGACTCCAACAGGCCCCTCCGCTGTGGGTTGGCAGAAACTGGACCCGGGGTAATGAACCATCCGCGACGAGGTCCCACTGACCTCTCGATGGACACCAGCCCATGTGCCCGAGCGGTGGTTCAACCGTAAATCTCTTTTTTTTTTTTTTTTTTTTTTTTTACAATTTTTTTTTTTTTTGCCCCTAGTTGATTTTGCATTCTACATTTAAAAAAAGAAGGAAGAAAAAAAGAAGTCTACATTCCATCCTTCTCTTCCTTCTTTTTCAAAATCTATATTCCATGACTTACACGAGTGTATCGAGCTAATTATCCCTTTCACATACAGAAGGCAAAAAGAAGCGCATAGATTCACAGATGAAGAAAAACGGCAAATACAAAAAGAAAAACGAAACATCAGTTAACGCCACTAAACTGAGTGCGTCCTCACACTAGCACTATCGTTAACGTATCTGACCGCATTTACGGCCCCGACCTGTATGCATCTAGCGGCAATTCCGTCCAGAAACAAGTACAAAAAGTGCTAGTGGTGGTATGCCCTGAGAGGAAGCAAAAATTTATAACCGTTTACCTTTTTGCCAATCAACCCTAAACCCGAAAACAAAAAAAAAAATTACAATCGCCACTTTGTTTTTTGAAGATATCTGACAGGGTTTGGGAGTGTTCTTTTTTTTTTTTTTTTTTCCGGGGG